TTTGTGAAACAAGATTAGAGATTGAAAGGGAGAAATTAATTGGGAGACTACTGTATCAACCATATAAAAGAGAAATTATGACCCAGCCACTCTACTTCTGTCCAAAGAATCCAAAAACACTAATTCAAAAAGATTGGTACCTTAAGAGATCTAGCTTAATGGCAAGTGCCAATAGGAGGGGGAAAAGCCATTGTTTTCTAGTGATTTTCTTAGGAGTCAGGCAGATCTGCATGCAGGGACCACTGCAGACTGAGTAGTCCCAGGAGTCCCTGAGAAGGCGCCACAGGCCAGGACCTGAGGGTGTGGAGAGCAAGAGCTCTTGGGCTGGTGTCTCAGGCAGAAAAGACTAGTGTGATGGAGAAGGAGAAAAGAGTCCGTTGTGGCTAGAACATTGAGACAAGGGCCTTATGAACTGTGGAAAGAACTGTTTTTTAAATACAAAGGGAAATGGGCTTTGACATCTAATTTACAGTTTTAAGAAACCGCTTTCTTCTGTGAGGAGAATGGGTTGGAGGAGGAGGCAAGAATAAAAGAAAGGAAAACCATCAGGAGGCTGATAGAAAGATGATAAAGAATTAACCGTAATAGTAACAGCTAACACACTGCTTGCTCAATACCCAGGCACTGTTCTAAGCACTTCACATAACCAGCTCATTTAAGTGTGCAGTACAGTTAGTACCTCTTTCATTCTTAAAATTCCCACAGTTTCCATGATAAATTACAGGGAACTATGAATCAGCCAGTTAACATTTTCAGAGGAGCTTAACAGTTGTACACAGCCTTCCTCCTCTGTCCATCAGTTCTAAAACATTCTATGAAAGCCAGTAATCAACACAACTCATGTCCAGTGTTAAAGTAGGAAAAACTGGATTCTCATCTCTAAACTTCCTGAGCTCTTCCTTTTTGTTCCCTTCTGCTCCGGCTCTGTCTCTTGGTTCTGTTTGCCTCTTTTTTCTGAGTAACTTTTTTTCCTTTTACTCCCTCTCTTGTGTCTTTCTGTCCCCCTATTTGTGTGTGTTCTGTTTGCCTTCCTCCTTCCCATCTTTGTCTTCCCTCTTCCCTGTCTCTACTGACTCTTGCCCTCCCCTAATATTCCTCTCTCTTCCCTCCTCCCTCAACTAGCCAGTGAGGTACTGGCATGCACAGTGAATCTGTTCTGTTCAATATATAAATATCAGTGTTGGTCATTTCCATTTAAAATTAATTAAGACTCCAAGAGCCTGTGTACTCATTTCCAAAATGCATCTAGATGGTTCTTAAAAAATATTTTAAATCCTTTATCCCAGTTCCTGCATTGATATCTCTCTAAGAAATTTCCCTAATACCCCATTCATCTAACTGGTTTCTTCCAAGCCCCAAGCCTTCCCTACCCACTCCACCATCACCACCTCCACCATGCCTTCTCTGCCTCAGGTCAGCCCCTGCCCTGAGCTGAACCTAACCCATACTGGGCCACATGTATTCTTTAAAATGTAAGAGGACTTTTGTAACCTTGCATGGTGAGCCAAGCGTCCCATTCTTCCAAAGTGTTTATCTTCATTTCCTTTCTTAATTTTTCTTAAGGCTTGACCCTACAAACTATTGATTTTGCTCTGAAGTTTATGGTTTTAGTTCCGAAGCTTATTTTTAAGATGGTCTTACTTTTACATCTGAAAGTGCTTCTTTTGTCTGCCTGGTTGCAAATAAGAGGCTACCAAGGACAGCCCTCCTCTGAGCCCAGGTGCCCTTTAGTGAGGAAGCATTCCTTTGTACTTGTCCTGTGCATAACTCACAAGGGAGGTTTTCATTGTTTTTTAAGAAATAAACAACAGGGGACTTCCGCCAAGATGCAGGCGTAGGTGGATGTGCCGTGCCTTCTCACACAACCAAGTTTAGAGACAACTTAATATTAGCAACAGAAAACACAGCCAGAACACGGAAAATTGAACTTTTCGGAAGTCTGTTAACAACAAATTCTTCAGCCTGACCAGTAAGGGGCAAACCAGCGGCTGGTGAAGCGGGGTTGCACAGGAAAACTCGGTCAGACGGACTCAGGCGCGCGGAATCCGGTCCAACTCACTAGGGTTGGACCTAGTGAGTGACTGAGCGAGCGACCAGGCGAGCGACCGCCGGGGAGACAGCGGAGGAGCGGTGCTGCGTGTTGACTGTGGTCGCGCATTTGTGCACGGGTGGACAGGCAAGGGAGTGGGCAGTTGGACCGGGGGCCGGCGGGTCCCGCAGCAAGCAGCAGTGGAGGGCGCCACCATTTCCCCGCTCTGACCACGCCCCCACATACAGCGTCATAACCCAGCGACTCTGAGTGGCCCGGCCCAGGGGAACCACCTAAGGCACTGCTTCTCACCCAGCTGTGAGAAACAGCAGAGGGGGTCGCCATTTCCCCGCTCTGACCACGCCCCCACATATAGCATCACAACCCAGCGACCTGGGAGTCCAAGGCGCGCTTCTCACACTTAAAGGGCACGAACAGACCAAAAATGGCGCAGGAAGATCTCAAAGCCCCAGAACCTATAGATCTAAGCAATGAAGAAATAGCAAAACTCTCAGACGCACAGTTTAAAACACTGGTCATCAGGATCCTCACAGAACTGGTTGATTATACCGACAAATTGGACAAATATATGAAGGTGAAACTAATTGAAATGAATGGAATTGCACAGGGCACCAATAGCAATGAAAAGGAAACTGGGACTCAAATCAATGGAGTGGACCAGAAGAAAGCAAATAATGGCCAAACAGAAAAGAGTCAAGAAGCAAGAATTCAAAGAAATGAGAGTCTTAGGAACCTCCAGGACATCTTTAAACGCTCCAACATCCGAATTATAGGGGTACCAGAAGGGGGAAAGGCACAGCCACCAGTGGAAAACTTATTTGAACAAATAATAAAGGAGAATTTCCCCAATCTGGCAAAGGAAATAGACTTCCAGGAAATCCAGGAAGCTCAGAGAGTCCCAAAGAAGTTGGACCCAAGAAGGAACACACCAAGGCACATCATAATTATATTAGCCAAGATTCAAGTGAAGGAGAGAATCCTAGAAGCAGCAAGAGATAAGGGGACAGTCACCTACAAAGGAGTTCCCATCAGACTGTCAGCTGATTTCTCAAAAGAGACCTTACCGGCAAGAAGGGGCTGGAAAGAGGTATTCCAAGTCATGAAATCCAAAGACCTACAACCAAGATTGCTCTGTCCAGCAAAACTTTCATTTAGAATGGAAGAACAGATAAAGTGCTTCTCAGATAAGATCAAATTCAAGGAGTTCATCATCGCCAAGCCCTTATTATATGAAATGTTAAAGGGACTTATCTAAGAAAAAGAAGTTAAAGAAACATGAACAGTGAAAGGACAACAAACTCACAGTTATTAACAACCACACCTAAAACGAAAGCAAACTAAAAGGACAGCTAGATCAGGAGTGGAAACATAGGAATGAAGATCTCAAGGAGGGTTAGCAACAAGGGAGTGGGAGGAGGAAAAGAGGGGGGGGAAGAGACAGAAAATAAGTAACATAGACAGTAGATAGAAAATAGATGGGGGGGCAAGAATAGCATGGGAAATATAGATTCTAAATGACTTGAGACACATGGTCATAAACTAAAGGGGGGGATGGGGGGTAGGGTGGAGGGGAATGAAAGAGGGAATAGAACAACTGTAACAGCATAATCAATTAAAAAAATTAAAAAAAAGAAAGAAACAACAAAGATTTATTCAAGGGCCTTAGAGTTTGGAAACACAATTAGGCAAAAATCCAGAAGTGTTCTGAGAAGAAAGGAAAGTTGCTAATTCTCATAGTAGTGTCACATCCTTGAGGCTGATCAGTTCTGCATTCCTGGTTGGTCCAAGATGCTGATCAATTGGGTGTCAGGCAGTCTGGGTGATGAACGCCAGGTAATCTGGTCCTGTAAGACCTGGCTGACCCAGAAGGTGGTATTTATAAATAGTCCTCCAGCCCCCGTCCTTAAAGCTTGTCCACCTAATCCTCTCCTCTCTCAAGATTGGAAGTGACTTGACCTTTGAGTCTTGAAATTCAGACTCTTCCTCTGAAAAATCTGGTTTTCAAAAAGTTGTTAAAACAGAAATGTTTTCAGCCATATAATGACCAGCCATCGAAGCTTGCCTTTCATTTCTAACATTTTTAGCCAAATATGCCTCCTCTCTAGAGAACCAGCTTTTATTATTTTAAGACACCTACCTTAGTAATTTTTATTTATTTTTACTCATAGGCTGTCATGGATTTGTATTTTTGTGATTTACAAAGTTGTTCCCAAATGGCTGCATTTCTACCACAGAGCACACTCCTTTTCACCCCTAAAATTACAGAACTTGGATGGGCTCTAAGTAGCCTCTGTCCCATCATCGTTGGATGGAACTGTGTTTTTATTTCTCTAATTCTGAATTATTTATTAAGGCTTTTCTCTTTGACCCAGACAAGTGGCAGTAATGCTTTTTTGGAAGCTACTGTGTCTGATCCAGCCGTTGCTTTGTGAGGGGAGCCCCTTCTCCAAGGCTTTTATCACAGTAGTTTTGCTAGAATGCCCCACTTGAATGTGAGCCTGGAACTTCAGAAGTAATTTTAGTTTTGTTTAAGAAAGTTTGGTGTCCATTGTGGCTGTACATTAAGTACAGAGTCAGAGTGTGACTCTGTACACTCTGACAAGAGCACACTCTGACTCTGTCTTAATGTCTTTAGTACATTAAAGACATCTGTAGAGAGAATGAAAAGCATGCACCGAGGAGGTTGAATGAATATTGTGTCTTCCGAAAAGCTTGGGCTTAAATGTCTAAGGCATTCTGTTTAGATCTGAGCTCAGAGTGGCCTTGCTAAAGCAGCAGTATCTGTTGTTTTATTTCTCCAGTTAGGGAACCTTTCTCTTAACACGGAGACCCCAGGATGGGTAAGAATATTTGTAGTCATTAGAATTGTAAGACATGACCTAAGCAAGTATGTATACTTTTGACTTGCTTTAGAATTTAGGCGGTTTTTTGTTTGTTTGTTTTTAAGCAGAGTTTAGGAATATGAAGCAGAGGAGAGAAAAGCCCCGAGATGCAGAAGAGCAGCAGTACCTGGCAACACAATGAGCACGGAAGGAGGGTGTGTGAGGATTGCACAAACCGGGCTGGAAGCAGCACAGCCAGTGCGACTTCAGCGCAGTGGGAGGTTTGCACAGGGGCACACAAGCAGGTTGAGGGCACAGGAAGCTAGTGTACCATCACACTGGAGGCACTCTACTGGATAACCTTTGGTTATCTTCTGCGACTTTTCTCACATAGCAGCCAAAGGCAGAAAGAATCTTTCCAGAGGGTTAAGTGCAGTACCATTGCATACATAATGATTATAAAAAACTGTGTTGTTCATAGTTCTCCACTGCAAGCTACCCAAACAATGGGAAAGGCTCAAAGGCTCTCCTGGAGCTTTGAAAACTGACCAGCAGTGGAGGACAAGGGCCCGCAGCCATGGCCACACTGCGGGAAAGGTTGGGGTGGCACTCTCTGCTGCCCACCCCGAAGAACCGCTAACTTTTCAAGTCCTGTGTGACTATGGTTTTGGGGGCCCAGAACTAGGCACACAGGTGTCCAAGCCTAGGTCATGTGCTTGCCTCCAGCTGTACCATGACCAGGAAAGAAGGTTCTGGATCTTCTAGCTGCTATAGTGCAAAGCAGTCACTGCCTCCCATTGGGGAATGGAGGCCTCCCATTGGGGAATGGAAGCCGCAGGGTACTGGTTGAGAAGAGGGTTTGTTTGCCAGATAGCAAGAAAAAGGAAAAAAAGAAGGAAGGAAGATGTAAGCTACATCCACTATTTATCTGAAGCTCAATCTTTTCACAAATGTTAACCATCTTTAATACTAAGCTTCCATGCATAGTTAATATTACTTTTCTTTTCCTTTAATGGTTTGTCCATTGTTTTTAAAAAATAAATAAAACTTGGGTCTTTTTCAGTTTAATCTATATTTTTATCAAAGTTGGGTGTGTACATTTTTCTACCCAGTTTCTGATGAAGAACATGCCTCCCACTCCTGTTTTCTACTCCTCAGAGCAAATTATTTTTCTGTTCTTTCTAGCTGATTTACTAGCACTTGCCTTGATATTTCTTAATAGCACACTCTGACTCTGTCTTAATGTTTTTATTTTAGGCATTATTTATTGACCTGCCACTATGAAAAGTAGTTTTATTCTTTCTCTACACTTTACACCTGACCACACATGCACACTCTTCTCCCCCTAGCCTCCCGGGACGGTTGCACTGGCTCCGTAGTCTGTGTTTCTGTCACTGTGCCTCTGTCCACCCCGTCTGCGGTGAAGCCATGCAGTCTACTGTGATTGCTGCTCACTTCCAGTGCCTCCTTTGCTTGTTTTGTCCCTGATGTTAATAATTGTCTTGTTTTTTTATTCATTTGCTTAGGTTTTCTATACTTCTCACTAATGTACCATAATCCCCACATCTCCCCTAATTGTATAATTCTACTTTCCATATAAATACATTCTATGAATTTCATCTTCTTAAGAGAAAATCCCTCAGCATTCTGACCTGCTTGTGTCTGGACCCCCAGTCACCCTCCGGGCCTGCTAAAGAGCTGTGAACTCTGGGGTCTCTCCTTCCCGTCACTCCAGGGACACCATCACCTGTCTCTTGTTGTAGGTCCCTTGTTTTCTAAATCTAATGTAATCCCCTTCCTTGGTGGTCCCTGTCTTTTTTTTTTTTTTCCTGGTCCTCAGTTGTTCTGTCTTTCTCTCCCTTCTGGCCTATTCCTCGTTGTTTTTTGAAGGAGCATATTATTGTTGGTTTCTTGAGAAAGTTACTTTTTGGGGAGGGAATCATTTCCCTAAGAATTTCCAAAGCACTGCTCCATTTTTTTCTGTCCTTCAGAGTTCCTGTTGAAAAATCGGTTTCATTCTAAATTTTTTTTCCCATTCTGATTTTGACTGTTTATGTGACAATTTGTTTTCTCTCTGGAAGCTTCTTTTTAACCTTGACATTCTGCAAGTTCACAACAATGTGACTTGGACACTTCAACCCTTTTAATCTGGGAAGTTTTCTTGAATTAATTCATTGATGACTTCTTCTCTTTAGTTTTTTCTGTTCCTTCTCAAACTTCTATTAGTTAGATGTCAACCTCTTAGACTTTTCCAACCTTTGCTTTGAGTTGTTTGGTTCTGCTATTAAAAGATGTATTTTCTAGACTTCTTTTTTGTTCTCTGAGCATTCTTTTTTAATTGGTATTGTTGATTTGTTTATTGTATGCTGAACAATACAGAAGCTAGAAAATATAATTACTTATATTAGAAGGTGTTTACTGACTGAAAGAAATTACAATTGACCAGCCTCAAAAGTTGTAATCTTGAGTCCGAGAAAATCACCAATATTATACAAAATCCAATTGTATATAAATTTTTTAATTTATATTTTTTAATTTATATTTTAATTTATATAAATTTTTTAATTTATATTTTTTAAAGGATTTTATTTATTTTATTTTTAGACAGAGGGGAAGAGAGGGAGAGAAACATCAATGTGTGGTTGCTTCTCACACGCCCCCTACTAGGGACCTGGCCTGCAACCCAGGCATGTGCCCTAGACTGGGAATTGAACCCTTTGGTAGCAGGCCTGTGCTTAATCCACTGAGCCACACCAGCCAGGGTTGTATATAATTTTTAGTGTCTATAAGGGTTATGTTGTCTGTGGTTGTTTTGATTGTTTGTTTTTAATGCTTTTTTTATTTTTTTTTAAATTTTTTTATTATTTATTTATCTTTAGAGGGGAAGGGGGGGGAAGGAGAGAGGGAGAGAAACATCAATGTATGGTTGCCTTTTGTGCCTCCCCTGCTGGGAACTGGCCTGCAGGGAACCGGCCTGCAACCCCATGCATGTACCCTGACTGGGAATCGAACCGCGATCATGTGATTCGCAGGCCCGCGCTCAATCCACTGAGCTACACCAGCCAGGGCCTTAATGCTTTTTTTAAAAAAAATTGTATCTTCCTCTATAGTCTCTTTTTATCCTTTATGTTGCTTTTTTCTCTTTGTTTGGGTCTGTCTGTCATAGTAAATGCTTTCTTGAGCTCCTTGAGATCCTTGGCTATCTTCTCATAGTTAAGAGCAGGCCACTGAAAAGCTACTTGAGAGCTCTGGACTTGCAAGTAAAACTTATCAACTGTGCTCTTCGCTGTACAGTGATCGGCCTGAATCGTTTTCTGGGATGCTTCTCATACCTATTGCTTTAGGTCTTTTATCTTAACTGGTCATATTCTGTTGGAAAATTTAAATTTGCACTGTTCATTTTCTACCTCTTTCTAGATGTGTACAAGCCTTGGGTTCTTATGTTGTAGATAAAAATATCTCCTCTTGGTTTTGTGCTTCTTCCTACAATGTCTTAGGGACTCTCCTACATTCTTATTTGCTTACATGGCACTTGTAGTTAGGTGAAGGACAAAGTAGGAGTCGCTTTCAGTGTCTTACTTTCCTCAACATATCTGATCAGAAATTGGATGAACCTTCGGGATGCTGAGACAGGGAAGATACTTTGGCAAGGAACAGAAGACCTGTCCATCCCTGGAGTGGAACATGAAGGTACCCTCCAGCCCTGTGTCTGCCCAGGGCTGTGATGTTTGGGGGGGCAGGGCCAAAGTGTCAGGGAGGCCGGTTAATACAGACCTACTAAGAGGGTGCACCCTGGCAGCACAGCACTTTAATCCACGTGTGTTCCTAAGATTTCTTGTTTCTTAAGTTTCTGTCTCCCACTTTCCCAAACCCACTTTTGTTAAAATTTTAGCAGTAGAATATATGCAAAGATACAAAGATCTCAACTTTTTTTCCAAAATAAAATTTGCATGTTTATCTCCCCAAAATAAAAGAAAAACTAAGGGGTTAAAACCAATACAACAGCATAGAGGGCAAGTGCCCATTCAGCCCCTTTCCTGATGAGAGTAGCTAGGTAAGGCCCTCAAATGCACTAAAGCTGATGTTCCTTGAAGATCTTGCAGTCACGTACACTTGACCAGGTGGGAACTTCTTTAATTAAAAAGTGTAGTTCTGTTACTAAGGCATTCTCTAAAATTTAACATAGATAATGGGTTCTCTAAATCAGCTTCCAGAAACTTGAAGCACCACAGTCATGTGGTTTTTCGTTTAGACTGGCTTCAATATTTCTTTTTCTTTACCAGCCCGTGTTCCCAAGAAAATTCTCAAGTGCAAGGCAGTATCTCGAGAATTGAACTTCTCTTCAGCAGAGCAAATGGAAAAATTCCGCCTGGAACAAAAAGTTTACTTCAAAGGGCAATGCCTAGAAGGTATTCCATGCCTGAAATCCAGGCTAGGGTGACAGGGACAAAAGGCAAGACCAGTGAACTCTAAAGCACTGTTGTGACAACATTCATTTTGCAGCTCTGTTTGTGATAGGATTCCTACATCCTGCAAGATTGGGGACCCCAGTGAGAACAGAGTTGTCACTAGCAGGGGCTTTGAGCCTAAAAAAAGGTTTCTGACACTATGGTCCTGAGGTTAGTGCCTGCTTTGTCACTGACGTGGTACTGTGACATGGTCACAGGAAGCTGCTGATCAGGGCCTGGTACAGTGCTCTCCATGTTCTCCAGATTTGAGTGGCAAGACCACTCAGCACTGAGTTTTCACCGTTAAGTGTAAAAAGGCACATGTGTGTCCTAGAGCTCAAATTCCAAGTGAAAAGGCCTGTTCCGTATTTGTTTATCATTTATATCCAGCCTTCTCAGAAAACTTAGCGTATACTCTATGAGCCCACTGGCCCTCGTCTGCTAGACCCCGGAGCACAGGGAACAGGCGTCTGGTGTGGCTCAGAGCCTTTTTCATGCCTCTGCCCTGGGAGGTTTCTGGTGGCTTCATTGGTGGTTCTTGGGGTAAAAAGAGGCTCACTTTAAAGGAGGGGGCCGAGGAGCCTGGAGACACTGACCGGGATGCCCACTGACCTGCTTCTGCTTCTTCCCTCAGAATGGTTCTTCGAGTTTGGCTTTGTGATCCCTAATTCCACAAACACCTGGCAGTCCCTGATAGAGGCAGCGCCTGAGTCCCAGATGATGCCCGCCAGCGTGCTAACGTGAGTGAGCAGGCCACAGGAATTGGGGAGTGTTTCTAGAAGCAGGCCTTCTGGGCAGGTGGAGCTCATGGTCCCGTTCAGTAGGCAGGCAGGCAGGCAACCTACATTGAAAATGAGGGTAAAAGAGTACCCTGGGGTGTCCGAGTTTACTGGTGGCTGATTTTTGTCATACGAAAAAGTGTGATAGAATGGAAAGGATATAAAACTTTAGATTAGGCCTTTAGACTAAAACTCCTGATTAACCCTGACTAGCTGTGTAAATTCAGTCAATCTACTTTACCTCTCTGGGCTGTATTTTTCTCCTTTCTAAACATAGAATTAATCATTCTCTCTCACAGAGGTGTAGTGAGAATAAAGTGAGATGACAGGGAAGGAAACTGGCATATAATGAATTAAATCCATGCTAATTTCCTTCCTTTCCTGATTACCAAACTTCTGGTACTCTATACTTTGTTTAAACAGCCTTTAACAGAATCTGGCAAAGTCCTGTTCTGTTTTAGAGGGTAATATTTGGTTACAGTTTTTCAGAGACTAGGTTACCATTTTAATAGCAGTGCTTCTAGGTCAAAGAATTATGAGTTGGTTGTTTGTCCAAAAATACTGTCAATAACCGCCCACCCATTTTCTCTTGGGAAAAGATGCTAGCCTTTCAAAACTTTTAGTAATAGTGCCTAGTAATGACATATTCACACAGATCATTGTGTAATGTTGAATCAATCATCTCTCTAAACAGTTCTTTATGAAAGCCACTTTGAATTTCTAAGTAGAGATTATTTATAAATCTTTAGTAGATTTTTAATAACAATAGTGTTTTATATTCTATAAACCATTCAGATCTTGAATTCCTTATTTACCTATTTTTAAATTAATTACCAGCAAAAATATATCTGCTGGCTATTAATTACTCTGGGAAAGTACGGTGTAGTATGTAGAACGCATTTTTCATATTTTATTAAGTGTAATTTGACTCCTTGGCCAGGCCTGATTTCTTTCAGATATTAAAACCAGTAAGTCTACAGTAACATCATTGAGGTTACCAAAGTCATGTTAGTGTTTAGAACCCAAAGGCAGTACCTCTGTTTGCCCTTAACTCGGTTCAGAAATGGTTTGGTTTGGAAACACTGAGATATCCACCAGGAAAAATGAAATTCTACTCTGCCCAATACACGCGTATCATTTGGGGTTCTTTGGTTGCATGCCATAGAAACTGACCCTGGCTAACATGCCAGAGTTGAAAGGGCTGAGCTCTGGGCAGCTCGAAAGATGCAGGTGGGAGGAGTCTGTGGATGGTCTCCTCAAGGAGCAGCCATAGGGAAGAATCCTGCTTAGGGGAGAGAGTCTGATTGGCCCATATGACATCCTGTGCACCCCTTTGCCAGGTGAGGCAGGGGCCACTTGACTGACCCATGGACAGGAGATGGGTGGGTCCCCAAAAGAAGAGCAGAGTGCCATTACCCAAAGTGAGAACAACAGTGGTGTGGTAGGGAAAAATACCACCCCTGTGGTCTGCAGGTTTTCATGTTCATCAGAAAGTTAGTCATATTTTATAAGCACCGCTGTGTGCAGAGCACTCTACTAAGGACCTTAAGTGTACCAAGGATTAAGACGTGCTCTCTCTTCTGACTTCCGAATGCAAGGAAGACAAACGTAGTCACATAAGTTAAATGTCATATTAGGCTTCTAACCACATTATAGACACAGATTTTAATGTCTCCAAGCCAAGGTTCTAGGTGGGTGTATATCCATGGGCGCAGATTGAAACCATTTGGTGGAAATGAAATCTGTCACTTAACACAGCACTCTTGCCTTCTCTTCTTACTTATAGTGGGAATGTTATCATAGAGACAAAGTTTTTTGACGACGATCTTCTTGTAAGCACATCCAGAGTGAGACTGTTCTACGTTTGAGAGAAGAATGTATGTGCATTTCAAGAATTTGGGTTTTGTGGGGGGAAGGAGGAAACTGTTTACTTTTTTCCTCCACACATTTATTTTGACATTTCCACCCCTAATTCCCTCTACGACAAAACCTATCTGTGGCCACCAGGGGACCAGCTCTGTGTGGGTAACCAGATGGCTTTCTTCCCTCAAGCTGCCGTCTTCGTTGACCAGACTTAACTCCCCACCTCAGACCAGGGCAGAGGGCCCGCCTGGACTCTATCCCAGGGTAAACGCGGGGTAGACACACCGGAGCCAATGCTCCTCCGTCACCTTCCCTGCCTCCTCCTCGGGCCCTGCAGGAGACAGAGCTTCCTCTGGCCCTTGGCTTTGGAAAATTCATGTTCTTGACCCACGTTTAGCCTTTTCCTACCGTTTCTATTTCATACATTCTCATACATTTAACTTGTAAAATAGACTGTGATATTATTATGTAATGAATTGAAACATAAGAATTAAAATATTCCTACAGTCTTTAACTTGGTACTGCTTTCATCTCTCCTTTCTCTGGACCATGAACCTGGCTCCATGGTGAGAAAAAAGACTTTTTTCGGGCTCACAACTCTATTTCACTCCGAGGCCGGCTGGCTGATAGAGCTCACGGTTCCCGAGTGCTTCAGCACTTGCTTTCCAAGAACATAAAATTGATCGGACACAACCTGTGACCTCAGCCTGGTCTTTCAGACATGACATTTAGTGGTCTCTTTGACAATGCCCTTTATCTGTTGGTTTGTTGCTGTTTTTAACCCTTTCCATTCCTTTATAATGCTTGTTTACTTAAGAGGTTTCTAGAAAGAGTAGACATTCTAAGGTGGTGGAGACTCCTATTCCTAAGTGACAGAATAAATTACAAAATGAAGGGAAGCTCTCCCAGAAGTTGACTGGAGAACCTGAGGAAGCACCTGGAAGGGGCTGGAAGGCTTTAAAAACCATGGCCAGCGGAAGCCCATTTGGGAGAGAAGTGGTTATGTTTGTGGAGCTTTCAAGTCTGAGGTAAGAGAGAAAAATTTAAAGGATCCTTGTTTTAGGAGCTTGCCTCTGAGCTACAAGTAGCCTTCACTGTCCTTTACAAAATACCAACAATTAAAAGTTTTTTGGTTTCCACAATAGTAAGGCTCAAGGCCAAAGGACAGGAGATATTTCCTAGACAAATGAGTGTCCTACCATTAGATTCTAATGAGAGGAGACAGCAAGCAGATAATTTCAGACAGTAGCCAGTGCTCCGCAGAGGACAGGGCGGGGCAGAGGCAGCATCGGTCTGGAGTGAGCAGGTGAAGAAATGGAACGATGTCAGCGTTCAGCTTTTGACCACCAAAGCAGAGCTGACCAGTCCCCAGCAAGCCAACAGCCTGGAAATCCAGGCTCTACTAGAAAAGATGTTTTAAATCTTTTAAACAATTATCAAGAAAGCAAGAACCAGGCCCCGGCTGGGTAGTTCAGCTGGTTAGAGTGTTGTTCTGATATACCAAGGTTGCAGGTTCGGTCCTCCATCAGGGCACATACAAGAATCAACCAATAAATGTGTCAATAAGTGGAACAACAGACTGATCTCTCTCTCTCTCTCTCTCTCTCTCTCTCCCTCCCTCCATCTCCCCCCCCCACTCCTGCAAATCAGTACATTTAAAAAATTATTTTTTTGTAAAGCGCGAACCAGGTGCGTACACTTGATTGTCTAGTTTGCCACAAAGAACTCAGGGTATGATAGGAAAGGCAGGCCCCTTCCAGCGTGGTGAGGACAGAGAGGATAAGGAGGAGGAAGCAGGACAAGGAGGTGACGTCCTTCCTATCCTTTACCCCCCAGCCTTGGGTGAGAGGCGTGGATGGAAACATCTGCCCAGGTGTGGGAGAGAAATGAGAACTTCAGAAAGGGGAGAAGGATGAGCTGCCCCACAATGCAATAGTGACTTCGTTTTCTAAACATGTCCCCCACTGCCCCCTCCACAGTTCCTTCCCTTCTGATTTGTCCTTCACAACCAGAGAGAGCCCCAAGGTGCATCTCTGTTGATCAAGGCCTCTGTATTGTCAAGTTATTTTTAGAGCTTCTGTCTTAGTGACCTGGTAATTGTTTTGTGGCTTTCAAAATGCCCTGTCAAAATGGTCCTCAGAGTGAAGACATCCTCTGGCTTAGTTCTTTTTGGTGCTTTTATCTGAAACTGAACGGCTTTGAATAAACTGTGGGGTGGGATGGAGTGGAGGGAGAAGCAGAGATCTGGAGAATACATGTGGTTCCCAAACTGTACATCAAGGCAGCCCAGGGCTCTGCAGTGAACTTACAGGGAGGCTGTGGGATCTTACAGTTTTCAAAGGAAACACAGCAATATGGGACAGCTGTGTCACACTGCTTAAACTAGTACCTCAACATAGTTCAATTTTTTGGCCCTGGCTGGTGTAGCTCAGTGGATTAAGCACGGGCCTGTGAACCACACAGTCGCAGTTCGATTCCCAGTCAGGGCACATGCCTGGGTTGCAGGCCAGTTCCCAGCGGGGGACTCACGAGAGGCAACCATACATTGATGTTTCTCTCCTCTCCCCCTCTAAAGATAAATAAAACCTTTTTTATAAAAAGTTCAATTTTTTAAAGGATTTTATTTATTTTTAGAGGGGAAGGGAAGGAGACAGAGCGGGAGAGAAACATCAGTGTATGGTTGCCTTGTGCACCCCCAACTGGAGACCTAGCCTGCAACCCAGGCATGTGCCCTGACTGGGAATTGAACCAGGGACCCTTTGCTTCTCAGGCCAGCACTCAATCCACTGAGCCACACCAGCCAGGGCTCAGTTACAACAGTAGAATGCACTACATTCTTTTTGGTGAGGTATCTTTGGAAAACCAGGTGTTTGAAGGTCTTCGTGATAAAAAGCAAGTGTTCTTCAAACATCAGTGTGAATGGGAAATGAGGGTGGTAGTGTCCAATCGGATCCCAAGGTTTGAGCTGTTCTATGCCCAGCAGGCACACACCCCATTAGGAGGTCATTGTGAATATAAATGAAACAAAAATACTTTTTCTCTCAATTTAGATGGCTCCCCCCCCCCAAAATAACATAGCTGCCACTGTTAGAACATAAATACTCACTTGGACCTAACTAGTTAATGAAGGGAATTATTAGTTATTTATTTTGGCCTAAATAATTAGCAACTGAACAAGTTACAGAGACACAAAGGATATAGTGAACAGAGAACATTTAGGGACCTCCAGTGAGCCCTTAGTTTTAAAATATGCCTCGCAGGGGGTGAGAAACACCATCTCTGGCCGCAACAAACAGGTAGTGACCACCCACTTCCAAAATCTCAGCAGCTCTTGGTTCCACAGAATACTTTTGAATTCTTGTACTTATTAAAAGAAATAGCCCTGGCTGGCGTGGCTCAGTGGATTGAGCGCAGGCCTGTGAACCAGAGTATCGCGGTTCGATTCCCAGTCAGGGCACATGCCTGGGTTGCAGGCCAGTTCCTGGCAGGGAACACACGAGAGGCAACCATACATTAATATTTCTCTCCCACTCTTTCTCCTTCCCTTCCCCTCTCTCGAAAAATAAATAAAATAAAAATATTTAAAAATATATATATATATTCAGAGAAAAGAGACATTTACTTAGGTTTCTTAGAATGGCTTTTTAAGTGACTTGATTTATTTAAATCATCCCCCAAGTAGCTCTTCTCAATTATACAAGGATAAGCAAAATTATTGTCATTTGAATTTTTAACTTGTATTATAACTATTACTTTCATTTGGGGCTAATGCATGTGCATTTGAGCTAAACGGCATGCCGAGTATTGTACGGTACACAGGGCACCCCTGTGTGATGGTGCTGCACGTGATCAGTCAGTTCTAACCAGGTAGAGAACTTGGGGTTTTGTTTTACTGTTTCACGTTATTACAGAAGGTGATGATGGTCATTTATTTCCTTTCATGGTACGTTGTTGGCTATACATATCATTTACTCGGGGCCCAGCCCTGGGTAAGGATTGGAATGTAAATCATCTCTTCCTGCAGATGTCTGCCAACTTTTAATTGGCTGATATTCAGCAACAAGCTACAATTCATTTGGTACAATTAGGCTAAGGTCAGAACCAGTGTTTCTTGAAGGGTTTACATTCACTCAAAAATAGGCTCTTTATGATACTTCACTTTATGATACTGGTGTTATGACCATCATGATCCTCAAGCCCAAATGGCATGGCGTGGCACAGAATTCTGGAACCTCAGCTGTGAATTTGGGAGGAGGTACCCAATCACTTTCTGAGGAAGACCTTGCCTCTAGCCACTGGGAATGCCACATCTAAAAAATGCCCGTGTTTGCTCTGGGTGGTGTGGCTCAGTGGACTGAGCGCCGGCCTGTGAACCAACAGGTCACTGGTTTGAGTCCCAGTCAGGACACATGCCTCCCCAGTTGGGGGCAAGCGAGAGGCAACAGATCCCTATATCTCTCACACATTGATGTTTCTCTCCCTCCCCCTGCCCCTCTCTCTAAATAATAAAGTCTTTAATAAAAATAAAAAAGCCCATGTTTGTGATTTCTGCAGACTCCAAAGCATAGCGGGAAATTACTAAGAAGCCCACCCACCTAATATGGGGATCCATTTGATGTCAGGACTGTGAGGAGTCCCATGACAGGGTCCAGAGATGACTAAGAGGTGTGGGTCTGCCCAAGGAGGACGCTGTGCACACCCAGCAGTTGAATGGCACTAAGTAAGAGGAGCCCTGGGGACAAGACCCAGGGATGGCCAGTGACCTCGGTGGAGCCCACCCTAGCCTCAGCTCTGGGGAGGCTTTGGCTGTCCCAGGGAAAGGACTGGGTCCCTGGATTGGGCCATCAGCTTCCCAGAGGGAAGGCTTGGGAAATGACTGCTGACTGTCATGTCTACTACAGTTCCAGAAATAGAGAGGGAGGAAGGTCTTGTTGTGGGGGGTAGTGGTGGCTTGAGGCTGACCCTGGACGGGGACCCACAACAGACTCCTGGACTGAGCAGAACCCAAGAGCGCTCCCTGCAGCTCCTCTATGGCCACCAGAGGGCGCCCATCTCTCATAAATCTTCCAACTTGGGCTCCTTAGGTGCCCGTCCTTGCACCTGGAAGGGACTTTGGGGGTAAAGAGGATGGAGGCGACCCTGGACCTTGAGGACAGGATCCCAGGCAGTGGTTAACTGTGTGCCAGGTCCGGACTAGAGAAAAGGAGGTTCTGCTGAAGGGAGCAAGGGCTGTTTTAGGCCAAACTTTTGGTGGAATGAGGGGGTATAGCTGGGACAAAGGGTGCAGGGAGCTCAGTGCAGACACGGGATCCCAAAAGAGGCAGTGCCAGGCCCTGACTCTTGCCTCATGCTATTCTAATTGTGCAAAGGAAGATTAGGGCTCAGCAAGATATAGCTACTTGCCCCATATTAACTACCCTGTCTGTTCTGCATGGGGCTGTTTCTCACTTCTTTTCTGAGAGGATTATAGTTCTGAGCAGGGTGGGTTAGACCTGATCCCAGCTCCAGG